CAGCCTTTTAACTAAGGCTAGAGGTCTTACTTCCCCAAAATGGATGTGCTAGCTCAAACAAGATTTATTTCAGAGAAGTCCTATGGCTTGTGCTCTATGGAAGATGGGACTACAGTATTCCAATGGTAGTCTCTTCTGGTTTATAACATACAAATCTGTTCCTCTCTTCATGGCCACTTCTGCCTGATACAAGCATTCTCTGGTCTACGCTATCCCCCAAGAAGTGATTGTTGAACTCTTTTCCTCTTAAAACATCATCTCATGTGTAAACACCATTTCAACTTCTTCTCATGCTCAACCCAAGAAGATGCCTTCCAGCCTACCATCTAGTCTCTCCACTTTACTGGAAGTACTCCAGTGACCTTCCCTTGAGCAAATTTCAGGGTTTATATTCCATTCCCATTATCTTTATTGAGTTTTCTATGATGAACATTTTAATTCTCCAGTTATCTCTTTGATTTCAGTAAGTGTCTTTCTACCTGTTCCTGACGTGCTAGTAGTCTCATGGGACCTCTCCTTTTTTACCTCTTTCCTCAGTGATTTCATCTCCCTGAATGACTTCTGAATCACGATCATTACAACACGACTTTCAAATTCAATGCTATATTTCAGCTTCTCTCTGCTATTTCTTCCTACATATCCTAATATGTTTAAACTAACCAGGACCAAACTCACTTCCTGGCCTTATTTCCCAAACTGCCTTGAACTCCACACTCTTACCATCACCAATATTCAGTCATAATCTAGAGTTTTTTCAAGTTCTCCATCTTCATTGTTTTTTCCAGGCAGTAACAAAATCTTGCCTTTCTTCTTCCATAACAGCTAAAATTCTTAAGACACTATTCCTAATGCAGTAGCACCTGACACCGTGAGGACTGGGGAACCACTATTTTAAACAATCTACAAACACAGGGTAAGAGAAAGCTACTGCTCAGAGTATACCTTAGTATGACAAAGAGAAACAAGGAGAACAAGAGTAACAAAAATATGGCAATATGGTTATACAGGTAACTACTGCACCCCTGAGTTTGGGTTTCTAAAGGTATATTCTTTTTAATAACCAAAAAAAAAAAAAGTCACCTATCCAAACTTGTACACTATGCAATTGTAGCTGATTATTTGTGGGCATCACAGCAAAGAAAGGTGCCAGTACAGCTAGCTGGGTATTTTCCAATCAAATGATTTAAAAATAAAAAAATGTCAGTCAAAAAAGAATCTTGAGGAAGAAATACATTAGGGTTTCAACAAAATTTAAATTTGAAAAAGGTTTCTTAGATCCAGGATGGAATTTTTGGTCAAAACCAGAAAAAGAATGCGCCTTAGACAAAGCCAACAGCTCAGTGGTTAGGACAGTCACATGAGATGTGGGAGACTAAGGCTCTGGTTTTGGTTTGCCTAAGGACAATCAGATCCTTGAACAAAGGTTTCCCACATCCCAAAGCGTACTAGTCTCCCTGAGCCACTAGTTATTCAGCTGTGAAGAAATCCCCCTCTCAAGAGGTTTTTGCAAAAAAATAAGAAAGGCCTCACAGGCTCCTCTAAATTTTTTGAACAATGAGAAACCTGTTTCCTAACCAGCTCTACTCTCACAAGGAGATTTAAAACCTGAGCCTTGGTATGTTCAGATAAAAGTCATGGATCCAGCCCCTCACTATCTCCCACCTTTCTTGGTTACCGCAATTTACTCCTCTATGACCTCATTTACACCTCATCTGCTCTATCAAAACTCTGCTGCCAAGATCATTTTCTCTGACCAGACTATTCCATCTTCTTTAGTCACAGTGCTGGGCTCTACCTCTTCTACTGGATCAAATGTAAAAATATCATTGTAAAAACCTCCAAATTTGTGCTCCTTATAACAGTAATATTTCATATTGCATCCTGATCACTTTGTTCCACCAAAATTCCCCAGAATCAATATCCCATCTGTCATCTTTTCCCAGAAATGGCTTCACACTTCCTTCCACATCACCTACTACAATTATAACACTTTTTCACAATCTGAGCTGTGAAGAACTTTCTCTCTCAACTCACTTCTACCATGACATCTACAAAAAACCAAAGTCCCCCATTAATGATTCTTATAAATAAATATGTTAAATGTAAACAAACACTTTATCTCCAGCACTACAATGTGCTGAATAACCATGCCACCTCCACCCCCCAGTCTTGTTCATACCTACACCGTGACTAATTCAGTTTATACACTCTTCTGGGCAAAGATGTTTTGGAGAGGTGCCAGGCACACCTTTGGCACCATCAGACACAAGAGAATGGTAACAGAAGCAACTGCATATTGTATACCTTCAAAACACATGACTACTTCACCTCTAAGACACAGCTGCATTCTCAAGATACCCATTCTCCAATAAATAACTGCCTTAAGATATTCATCTACCTCTGCCACTGAAGAACTTGCACTCAATGTAACATTTTAGTGGCCTTTTTGCTCACTTTCCCTACAGAAGGAGAGTAATGGGAATATAACCATAAAAATCTCTCTGGTATAAAATAAAGAAACTTGTTTTCAGAGGACCGCTTTAAGTATGCAGGGAAAAAAATAAGAGTTATGAATGTCATCATATAAGTAATAACTATGCTCACACTATTGTTGAGCACACTCAGTTAAGTGCCCTAAGTAAGAAAGGAAAGTGAGGTTTGCAAATCAAAATTAGTGATGATCTTGCACTCAAATACCCAAAAGTAATTAAAAAAAAACAAAACAGTTTCATGCTTTAGTTTTGATGCAGGTACACATGCAGAGACCTATAGAAGAGGGACATGCTATTCTTAATATAATGCTGTTGCTCCAAAGTCTTACTTGCCTACATAGTAATGGAGACTACAGAGGTCAGCAAAGCTTCCAACACCTTAACAGTTTAAATCAGCTGTTAGTGAAAGTGAAAAGGAAAGAAAGATGACTAAGAATAAAGATCCTGAGAAACTTCAAGGAAGAAGTTGTACTAAAACTTACACAGGCTGCAATTAAGCAAACACTTGTATAATAATAGTTTAAATAAAGGCTTTAAAAGAATAGGATAATAGAGATGTAAAAGAGACATTTCAAGATGGCAGCTCAGTCAAGCCAATACATCTTTTAACAGATTCAGTCAAAGGAACTCCATCAACTTAAAAGTATACTTGTGTCTTTTCAGTATTATTACAAATAAAAAAAATCACTATTTTAAGATAACAGCTAAAATGATGTATTTTTCCCTCCAATTTTAACTTCTGTTCCGTGCCATCTGTGTGGATCTTTACACAACAAAGTTTTCTTTTTAAATAATAAACTGTAATTGTAAAAAAATGTAAATGTAGGTAGACAGAAACAAGGGTAGGTTTAACATATATAGACAGTTTAAATTCAAGTTCAAGCTAGTTTCATCTTCATTTCTGAATACTGTTAAGAAACCTAAAATAACCTGGTAAAGCTAGTTTATGCACAACCATACCAGGAGTTACTTTCCCAGTTCCATGAGCACATGTTCCGTTAAACTAAGTCTTAAATACTCCACCCAAAATCAAAATATACTGGGCTTCTACAATTGCTTCTACAATTTCTTAAAGTGGAATCTTAGATACCTAACTCTACCTAAGCTCTGTTGCAATCCAATCCTGTTCTAAAACGTGCATAACTACTGAATTCTTCAAATCCTTAGATGGAGAAATGCCACATAGACAACTATTTGACACCGACATGTAAACGCAACAGTGCCCACCATTAGCCTACAGGCTAAAACATTCACTGCTCATGAAGTGAAAGCCCTAGATTTTAGGCCCTCCTCATGCTCCCAATGCTGTTTATCCAACCACTAGAGCTGGTAATCCTTTCCAACCAATAGCCCAGCTTCAACAACAGGGGTAGAAGTTGTTCTCAGCTTATTGGTATTAACCAATACCCTGATGGTTAAGGCATTTTCTAGGATTGGGAATCACTGGGTTCAAATCTTCTAAGGGCAAGGTGGACACAGAAACCAACGTCTCATTTGCAAAGTAAATGCCTCAACTCCCAGGCTATTAAGCAAAGGGTAGGCACCACTACCACCCTCCACCCCCACTTCTCACTTTACACTGAAGTCAGTTTTGCTACCCGCCAGTTAGATGTACTGCTTCAGATATGTCTCCCAACAGAACAGACTAGGATAGGTCTCTGGGGGCATACTAAATGCATATACAGAGAATGGAATAGGTATATACCTCCACGAGTAGAACTGGATTCACACACCTGAGGTGAAAGACATACTTTTGGAGCTAGTGATAGCAAAGACTTAGACATATTATAGGCAGAACAGAATCTGAGCGATGGTGGCCTGATCCTACATTTCTTATGTGCCCAGAACACCCAGGAATACTGAACAGCAAGTTTGTACAGTATGGAAGATCAAATCCTTAGACATTTAATGAGAGGTGACTGCAACATCTAAAAATGGAACGAATTCTCCACTTTCAAATATCGTATTTGTATAATTTCTGTTGTTTGCAATGTGCCTTTTGAATTATGTATAACTAGTCATGTAAAGTCCATTTTAAAAACTAAACTTCTTAAACACCATCACATATTTGTACAAACAAGCTGGTGAAAGCAAATGGGGTAGTTATCTGGGGTTCTATTAATGGTTACTTCTTCCTAAATTGCATCTACAAAAAAAATTAAAATTAACATTTATTTTTCACTCTTGGGGACTAATCACTTTTTCCAACCCAGGATTGGCAGTGCCCATGGTAGAAATCTTTAGCCACACAGCGAAATACTAATGAATCTTATAATAATTTCCTTTCTTTAAAAAAAAGATTATTTCCTTTAAAAAGGCAAATCAACCCACATTAAATAATATTTTAAAACCTTAGTCTCTATAGAGAAGCACTGGACATCCCTAAACACTGAAGAGCTAGCTGTTCCTCAAACACAGAGAAGGACATCTGCAATTAATATAACTTTTGTAAAATTCATACCCCAAAAGCAGTTCCATTCAAATATTAAGAAGAAAGGTTTTTTTTACCCTCATCATTTCATTTTCTAGTTGTTTCTTACGATGCAATCGCTGCTGATGACACTTTAGTATGTTTTCCACATGTTGTTCCATGAAGAATTTAAAGGCCTGAGGAGAATAGCTTTGAATACGAGACTCTCTTCGTTCTTCATCCTTCTTGTTTTTCCTAACTGGAACAGGTGAGGTTGTTATTTGTTTCTTCTCCTTATCTGCTCCATCAATGCATTCATAATTCTTTTCACTCTCCTCTTCTTTAGGCAAAGCAGACTGATCATCTTTGCTAGGTTTGGCTCCTGACTCATAAGGACCGACAGACTGAGTCTGGTGCAGCAAGTGTTTTGGGTAAGGTGGTGGAGGACCTTGGTAATTGGGAGCCTCTGTAACAGGAGACATAACTGTCATATTTGTAGATGGACCTTCAGAAAAGGGGATGGGCTGGACTGTCTGCACTGGTTGTGGCATCCAGGAAGGGTGAGTTGGTGCTAAGGCAGTCTGCAGCTCTGGCTTTAACACACGCATACTTTTTACTGGCTGCTGAATGGGAGCTGGTGTTATAGCTGTTACTGTAGTGGCTGAAGGCTGAGAATTACCAGAGTGACTCTGTCTGCTTCCATGATGGTTATTAAAAGAGTTTGACCTTACTGGAATGTTAGGTTGCCACGTAGGGATTTCGTGTCCATTGCCAGGTGATGACTGGGGCTGTGTAGCTGAAGGCTGTGACCAGGATGTTGGTATACCAGGTACATTTATATTATAAAGTTCCATGTTGTGGCTGTTTCTATTTGGCACCATCATAGACTGAGGAATGTTTCCATTGGTGTATGCTGAAGGAGGAGCAGATCCTCCTGCTTGCATCTGCAAAGCTGTCGGACTTTGTCTGTTAGTTGGGGAAATAGGATATGGAGGAGGAGGTGGTTGGCGATTCATTGAGTTCCCAGACACAACGTTCTGATGAACCATGAAGTCTGTCTGACAATTGCCATTCTGCATTCCAGCTCTTCCTGATGGAAAGCTAAACTTACTACCAGCAGAACTCTGCATGATGATCGGTTGCCTGCCAATAGGAACAGAACTAATACCTCTCTGGCCCTGTGTAGACGTGTTTATGGGTGGAGGATTCATAGGTGGGGGTGGATAGCCATCCGGCCATGCTCCTGGCGGCACTGGTGAAATGCGGGAAATCATGTATTCCATGCTTCCAGAATAACGTTTTGTTTGAGAATTTGGTTCCCAGGAAGAAGGTGGCGGAGTTGTTCCTCTTGGTGGAGGAGTCTGCCCTCTAGGTGGTGGAGGAGGGGGTGTAACACTCCTCATCTGTGGTGGAGGTGGTGGATTCACTCGCTGTCCATTAACAGAATGAGCCTGAGCAAATGCTGTTATTCCAGAACCAGATAAAGGCCTTCCTACATCTGTCTGAGAACTAGGGCTTTCTGAGCGATAAACTACACCATCTCCCAGTGGAGGGCCATGTCGCTGAGGTACCAAGGACTCTTTAGAACCTTTCCAGCTCTGTTTGCGGTTAACTGATTGCTGTACGCCGCCTGCTTTTACAACAAGGGGGAAGAAAAACAGCAAATATTTTAAAAGAATTCTACGTACAGCCAGAAATAGTTTACTTCTCTACTAAGTCAATCACTTCTTATTAGGCAAATACATAACTTCTATTACATAACTAATACAAGTGAAAGCTATAGCTTTTTTTTTTAATAATAAGAAAGCTATAGATATCTATCTATTGATATAGCTCTATTGACATAGCTATATCTCATTAGGAAACACTGAATAAATAAAAAGTTACCAACCTATATTTCACACCAATTTTATCAGTGATATTTACAATCTTACATGTACAAAACTCATTTATATTCTTGATCAGTTCAGGGCCTTTAAGCAAGTAAGGTAGTCAGCTAATGTGCTGACAGGACTTGTATGCTTGCAAATAGGCTCAAACAAATTTCCAGTTAAACTTATTCAGTTCATCATATGCAAAGTTCTATTAATTAAAAAAAATGCATTTGCTTGAAAGATGCACCATGGTTATTGGTAAGAAAAATTTAAGGATAGTAGGAATCAAACTGAATGCATTCACAAAGCCCAATTCAGCACTGAATTCTTAATTTCAACTCCATTTAGATTTAGCAGTTTTGCCAAATACCAGAAATTAATTACAACATCGATTTGTTACATGAGCAGGTCTCTCTCTAATCTAAGAGATCATTTTTTTCAAGACTATATTGAGATTTTTAAATATATTTATTTTTAGAGCTGAAAGTCATGTTTCCAAATCAGTGCTTAAGGTTACATGTTATATAAGCAAAAGTAAAAAATTACTGTCAAAATCTAGCATTTCATCACAAGTTTCATACAAATTCCAGTTACCCTATTTATTTGGGTTGAACGGAAATAAGCTGAAAACAAATGTCCTTTTCTAATACTGATAATTTATGAGCAAGAAAACAGCACAGTTATATCATTCTGCACCTGGCTTCAGTCACCCAGAAGCTAAACTGATTTTTTTTTAAGTTTACTAGGCATCACTTAAAAAAGTAAATAGATTTAAATGCATATTACAAAACTGTCCAGAACAGTGCCCCAGTGTATTAATGCACCTTAGGGCAAGTTATAATAGAACAAAAGCAAGCACAAATCATGGCTACAACTGAGTTTCCAATATAAGCTCCAGTTTGGCATATCTAAAAATCTGCAAAAGCACAATATCAGCCTTAAAAATATTAGGCTAGGTCTGGGACTAAACTGGAAGCACAGCAGACAAGGGGCTCCTGAAGTAGACACCATAAAATGGATTATTCAAAATAAAACAACAATAAAATATATGGCAACTTGTGGCAGAAGTAAAGTATACAGAAAAAGAAAAACTATGGTATTATTGATCTTTAAAGCTGAGATGCAGTGCCTGCTCCCCTACATCAGTTGCAAATTAAAATTCAGGGTTAAGTAACACAAATCACAAATTTTAGAAAGTAGGCACAAAAAAAGAGAAATCAAAACACAATTTCTTGAGAGACATACTGAAAACACACCCTAAAAGCTAACGTTCATATTTTAAAAAGGATTTCTCACAATTTTCTCCATTAAAAAAAAAAATGGTATCTCAATCATCTACTTAATAGTTAAAGATATGTCCCACATTCCATCCCCTCAAATTATGAGTGGACAATGGAAATGTTTGACTGTTTAACATTTCCTTCCTATGAGAACACACACATAGTGTTATTAAGTTACTGGATACACATACCTGGTGGTTTCATGCCTGCATTAACAGGTCTGGCTGCTGCTGCAACCATCTGTTCTCGACGAGGATCCTGGTAGCTCATTTTACTAATGAATTCAATTGCTGCTTCTATGCTACGGCTGTTAGTTTGCCTAAGAGCTTGTACAACCATATCCTAAAGGGAAAGTAAAAAAAAAAAAAAAGTTTGTTTTTTCACTATCAGAAGGAGAGAGTCAAAAGCCCTGCAGCTGAAATTTTGAAAATCCAGCAGGATTTAGCCAGGCATCCTCTATTCTAACAAAATTTGTGACTAAACTCCCTTTACCACTTCCAAAAAAACCCAGAAAACAAACAAAAACAAAAAGCCTCTCTCTGAGCAAACTGAGTAACTGTACTAGCATCACATAACCAGATGCTCAAAAAAAGGTTACCTTGTAAAGCATCACACTGAAAGGTACCTAACCAAGTTGTTTGAACCTCATAATTGCTATTACAATCACTTTGGTCATACACCTGCACATTATGAAGAGGCAATAACCTCTGCATAATTAAGATCGTAATCAGCATCCAGTACAAATCTCCAGTTTAGCCCGCCATAAACTATGGCTTGAAAAAACTGCCTGGCTTGAAAACTGGCTGATTTCCTGAATGTTTCTGAAAGGTTACAAGTAACAAATTTTACCTAGAAAATCTGAATTTTGTCTAATGCTCGTCTTTTAGTTCAAAATGGCCTTTAAACTTCAAACCTTCTATCTACCTACACTTTCTTAAAAAGTGATGCACTGAAACTGTTTGAAGAAAACAGGCCAATACCAAGCAACATTAATAATCATTATTGCTGATACATTTAGGCCCTATTCTTTTTTATTGGTATATAAAAGGAGATTTCTGCCACTGAACTTCAGTGCGAGGAGGGTCAAGAACTATGAGAGGGATTTTCAAATTCAGACTCATTTGAAATGTTCTCTGAGGTGCATTTGTTTAGCTCCCCCAGATTCATTTGAAATACTCCATCTACATGATTAAGTATGTTGTCTTCTACTGACTGATTGCAACTTTGGAAAAATAAAAAACAATATAAAGGGCCTTTTTACAGGTAACAATTAAGGAGATTTTATGCACCTCAAATGATAAAAGCTCATGGGAAAAGACCAATCCAGTTCTGCCAACATATATTTTACTACGGAGTGCAGGCAGCCTGTAACAATAGCTAGTTTTGATCCCTCTAGTAACTACAGCAAGCATTCTAATGCTTTAAGTTTAGGATTCATTCTTTTTGAGATTATTTAAAAACAAATATCTGAGACATCTCTTACTGTGAAGTAGCTTACGTTTCTGCACCCCTTCCATCAGACATGGAATCATATTACTTGATTTTTTTTTTTAAACTCAAGCAGATTTAACCTGGGCAACCACTTCATGGTTTCTTACTCTGCAGCAATGAATACTTTATAAATGCCAGGACATTTGATATTGCTATTGGTTCACATGATGTATACTTTTGAATATACAAGGAAAACACTGCGTAATAACTAGACACATCCTTCACCACTGAACATAACGGAGAAGAAAGAGCCAATAGAGAATGCCTTATAACATCCAAATTTGTAGTGAACAATTTCAAAAAACCAAAGCAAGCATGCTGAGTTCATACACTATCTGTAAGTGCTGATGAGCTGACTGTGCTCAATTCTTACAAGAATATTAAGAAGATTTTTGCTCGTACAGCCAACTGATTATTGTTTTCAAAACCACTAGGGAATAATAAATTTTAGTTTCTACATATTATTTGATAAACCATCTTTTTTCTCTGTTAAGGTAATAACCTAGTAACCTATTTATATAGTTAAGTAGTCTTTATTTACCTATATATAAAATTTATTTACCTTTATATACCTTACTATATAAACACTGAATTAAAAATGTAGGCACACAAAGTAAAAAAAAACTGAAAAAAGATTAAAAATAGTTACAGTTCATGTTGCCATGACAATAGAATTATCTTGTTTGCAGAATTTAAAAGAAAATAAAACTTATTTAAGGGCATCAGATCTTACTACTCACATACCATTAAAGCCCAGGGAAGTCAGAGGGCTCTTAAAGAATTATGCAGCACAAAGAAATTAATACTTTGTCACTACACATAGCTGTCCCAAAGTAAGACATGATGACAACAGTAATCAACAAAAAATATTTCTAAGGGATAATTAATATACATATTAAAACTGACTAGCTTCAATAATTAATTCTACCATAAAGGTATGCAAGTTTGACATGCAACTAAAAAGACTAGGGGTGCACCGATAAAGATTTGTTTGACCAATACCGATGGCCGATTATTAACTAGCCATATCTGCCGATACTGATAGCCAATTCACAGGAATGCAACCCGGCAGCTTGGAGAGCAGAGTCCTGCCAATAGTCTGTGGGAGAGGGAAGGGGCATGGGTACGGGGGCAGATCAAGGCCC